TGGTACTTACGTCACATCATTGTTATTTTCTGTGATAACATGGTGCCAATATTCTTGCTGTATGTAGGGAGGCTGCGGCTCCTGCTGGGCCTTCTCCACCACCGGCTCTGTGGAAGGTCAACACAAGAGAGCCACCGGCAAGCTGGTCTCACTCTCCGAACAGCAACTGGTCGATTGCTCAAGAAGATACGGTAATGTAGAGACTCTCTCTCTCAGTCAACTTTGTTTTTAACACACCCCCACAGGCATCAGACAGCTTACAAGTATGAGAAACAAAACAATGCTAAGCCCCGTATTAATCCTCAGTTCATTGACGTTGACATTGCATATTGTGATATTGTGTTGTTTCTGAGGAACGACAAAGTTGGATTTGAGCAAATTGTGAAAAAGCACATTGATCGTACAGCTAGTATTACCAACTATTCAAAATATTTAAATTAAATTAATTAATTAATTGATTAATTTGTAAAGGTAACAATGGCTGCGGGGGAGGACTCATGGACAACGCTTTCAGATACATCGCAGCTAACGGAGGAATTGACACTGAGAGCTCCTACCCATACACAGGAAGGGTATGTATGACAGGACACAATTCAAGGCATAGTCGGCAAATTGGTAATATATTGTTAATCTTTTAATAACTAATGTGAATTCAATGTACTAAACCATACCTGTTACTAATACAAACGTGTTTTTTTCAGTATGTTAAACAAATTTTGTCAGTCGTCAATACTCGTCTGTTTATCGACTTGGGCCTCAACTTGATACTTCCATGAGACTCGAACTTCTTTAATCTTTGCAACAATGGCAATGACATGTAATTGTTTCAACTATAGTAATCTGTTATAGTATTAATTGCCTGCAACTAAACCGAACATTTGAGTCAACAGAGAAATGGTTGCCATTGGCCATATAATCATGTAGTTCAAATATCTGTACCCCCCTTTCAACAGGACGGCACATGCCACTTCAGCAAGAACAGCATCGGCGCCACAGTAAAAGGACACACCGATATCCGCCGTGGTAGCGAGTCCGGTCTGGCCTCCGCCCTGAGCAGTGTCGGACCCGTCTCCGTCGCCATTGATGCCAACCACCAATCCTTCATGCACTACAGGTAGGTCTTAGGCCGCATTCTGAACAGTGGACTAACTAGTCTTAGGGTCAAACATGGCCGACCCACTTAAATACTTCCACACGGGGAATCTATTAGCGGATTAAGCGGCAAGCTTTTTATGGGGTCGCCATAGTCCATTGTTCTGAATGCGGTCTAAAACTGTATACAGACTGTATAGAATTCTGTTGGTATATACTTGGTGAGGCACTCATTTATATGATATACATGCAGTATGTTTTTTTTAATGTTCACCAGCAGTTACTGCTGTGACACAGAACGTTGGAAGGATAACAATGAAATGATGCCCCTCGTGGGCACGGTGTTCAACCAAGAGCGTGGCACCAAAGAGTTTATTTCTAGTCGTATTGTAATAAGATGATCGGTCAAAATTGCTAAACATCCAAAACAATTCGTATTTTGTTGTCTCAGAATTGTTAAAATACCCTGGATCACTGTAATGTCTGGATGTTTTCATGCGACATTTTGCTAATTTACTTGTTTCCAAAAATGTTAACTTTGAATATAAAATGTAAATTTGCTCTTATATCCCATAACGTTATTTCTGTAAAGAAAACGTGTCTATGATTTACTTATTTGTCACTAGGAGCGGTGTCTTTTACGAACCAGCCTGCAGCAGCACAAGATTGGACCACGGTGTATTGGCTGTGGGATACGGATCCAACTATTACATAGTGAAGAACAGGTAGGCCTACAGTTATATTCGGAGATATTGAGTTAGACTCCATTATTTAACAGGGTTGGTAATAGGTAGGCCTCTATTAAGTCACGAAACTTGTAAGCCCACAATGCACAGAAACACTATAATAATAATAAACATCCCACCGCCTACATTGTACATGTAAATGGCAGGTACAGTACTTAACCCTGTTAAATCTACATTCATCCTTAACATGTTATTATTAGGAATTGT